TGCCATAATTTTGTGATAAAATATTTGCTATTTGTCGTCCCCATCATCTCTTCAATTTTTCCTTTTTTCATTGTTATCAGTTACTGGTGGATCTCTGAAATGCACCACGTTTGTTAATATTGATCAGTGTGGATACCAGGACATCTCGCCTGGTCCGGTTCATTGGTTCAGATTCTACGAAAAACCAGCGACTTTCTACATGGTTGCAAATTTCAAAAAAAGTAAAGGCAAATCAACTGCAATTTTAAAATCATTAGAACTACCGGCTACTTCTTCATCGTCTTCATCTTCATCAACCTCTCAACAATGCCTACAAGTTGCCTATTACACGACACGCGCTGACTTCACCATGGCCATATCGTCGACCAACCCTTACGACCCTCTACCATTGACCACACAGCTGAACACGGAAGGGTCATTGAATGTCTACTATCCTCTAGCTGCTTTACCAGAAGGTGGAGTTTTTTGACTCTTTGTTATGTTTATTTTTTTGTGTAGTTTTCACATGTGTATCGAATTACAAATCTCACTTTAGTTGAATTTTTTTTTATTTCCATAAACAATTATTAAAAGCGTGTCAATAACCCGACCATATGTTAAACACGTCATCTTAATTAGACTCATGCCCACAACATTCATATCTCTATCCTAACAAATGCCAACAACAACGACTATACAATCAAACGCTTTTGTTTTCCTCAATGTCAATGTCATTCACTGTCTCCATCTGTCGAAATTTCAACCATCGCCGGCAGGGTCAAGCCGCAGCATAAACATCTCAGTGACCTACGTAGAATCAGCTGACACGACGAATGATGGTTCAAGGTCAAGGATAGACTCCACAAACAACGTGAAGGAAGTCAGGCTGACGGGTATCCAAGTGCTCAGTGGTTCCTGTCCAAAAGATGGTGATGATGTTGTTGTTGTTGATGATAACGATGATGTTGAATGATGATGTTGTTGTTAATGATGGTGATAATGATGATAATGTTGTTGTTGATGATGGTGATGTTGTTTTTGATGATGATGACGATGATGTTGAATGATGATGTCGTTGTTGATGACGGCAGTGATGAAAACGTTATAATGATGATGATGTAAAGGTAGGTTCATCAAAATAGTCACTATTATGGCAAATAATTTTGAATAAATTTATTTAGACCAATTCTAAAAGTATTTGTGACAGTTTAAAAAATTTGAAGAGAATATTTTGCAAGCAACGGAATGAATATTTCGTTAAACAAATAAAACACAAAAAACACAAACAAAACTTCTAACAAACTAATAAACAAACAAACGAACAAACAAACATACAACCAAACAAACGAACGAACAGACAAGCCACAGGAAGTTACATGCAACTTCAGCACTCCCCTTGTTTGTCACTACAAACTAAAGTCGCAGTTCGGCGGTGAGTGGATCTGGATGGCATGGAACACGACAGACATCCAGCCACCAATCTTTCCCTCCAACACAACAAACGACTCTGGAAACCACGGTTGGTTTTGAGCTGAAAAATAAAATGAACATTCAGAATAAAAGTAGCTTAACGGTGACACGAGCTAAGTCATGTCAGATAATAACGATAATATTTGTAGCTATTTTAATTATTTAAAACAAATATTTTGTCATATTATATCAAATATTTTAATAGGAAAATAGTTAATTTAAGAAATAATTCTGTTTTGACATTAAGATTACGTGGTTGCATTTGTGCAAACTATCCCGCCATCTCCATTGATGGGGGTCATGACGTCACCCCTAATTTCAAGCCAGCACAGTTCACGGCTGACAGTAGAAGCTTTCATAACGGACACGACGGTGACTTCACTTTCTGTTATTGTAGGGAATTCCCTGGGACAACTAATTTCCGACAGTCCTCAACAGTTAATATTAGACTTCGAAAGTAACGGAACATGGAAAAATTTTACAATTTGCCTGCCACCTGGCGACTGGTATTTGTTTTATGTGGCTAACATCAATGACGACCGTAATGGCAGCGGCAACATTCTCGTCAACAGTATAAACAACAGCAACAATAACCATGCACCATCCCCATCGACGAAATTACATTTTGTGGCAATCGACAACGTCAGGTGGACAGAAGACGTCGGTGGTAACAACAGTGCCGACCAATCTTGCAGCTTCAAACCACGAAACTTCATGCACAATGGTTTGTACTAGTCAGTTGTTGTATTGATAGGTTTTTTGTTTTCTTCTGGTGGAAGCACATGATCTGAAGTTTGCGTTGGTGTGTTTATGAAACACTTTCGTTTCATTTCAAATGTAAATTATTGTGAGTTTTATGGATTGAAATGTTTTATTAACTGTTATGCTAAAGCGAAAATATATTTTAAGGTTGGTGAAGTTTCATGCTATTCAATATTTGTAAACATTCTAATCAAGATCATCTTAATCACTCTTAGACTGCCAGAGTAGTGATCTCTCAGACTGTATGACGTCACTGAACACGTGGTCACGTGGTCTGCAGTGGATCAAAACATACAACGCTGGCAGTAACTTCGGACAGGCAAAGCAAGGTTTGTAGCAAGAAATGTTTTGAATATCAGCATGTGGTAAAATGCAGTTCATACTGTGAAGTAATGATGTGACGAAATTATTTAGATTGCTGTTTCTAAACGTTAATCACTTAGCGGTGAAATGCTCGCAATTAAAAGTTAGTTGCATACAAAACTCAACGAACCTCAATTCAGGATGCGTGTATGTGTTCGACCAGTCGGAAGGATGGTTTGAATATAAGGTGTCCAACAAACAGTACATGAACAAGAGCGAGTGTGAAGTTTACATAAGAGGGAATGACGACATAGTTGTGCAACTCTGGTTTGATGAGTTTGAGGTGGAAAATTGTACGCTGCAGTACATCGAGGTATCGTGTACATTACTCTAATTTACTTCAACTTATTTGTTGCATACATTATTATTAATTTATTTTTAGACACATTTAAGTACGAAACGGTTTATATTATAACGCTAATGCTGTATTTATTGTTTCATAAAGTGTTGATCAGCGTCATCTGAAATGATTGAAGCCAGCATTGCTGTCTACTTTATTTGATCATGTTCATAATCACACTTTCCACTATTTTCACCATTTTGTCATTATCATGATCAAAAAGGTATTAGAGATCTTTCTTTAGACTTTAATTTGATGAACTTTAACAACGTCACCAGATTTGGCGAAGACCGAACGCCAACTCGAGTGAGTTTGTTAAAATGTGCAACCACTCCCATTCTGTCTCATCGACGTCTTCATCGAAACCGTTAGAATTCAAAACTTATAAAATCCTTCAAATTCACATCACCTCTTACAACGGTCACCCAAAGTTCAAGATGAGGTTCAAGTACACCAGCCAGTCTATGAATGGTCAGTCACGATGATGATGATGACGACCTTGGTGATTACTATGATAAGGCGATGTTGATTAGGATGATAATTAAGACGAACGATAATGATGACGCTGACAAAGGCATAACTAACAGCTAGTAGGATTGTAATAATGGCGACTTCATTGATTATAAAGACAATATTGAGAATTATTATTTGATTAAAATGACAATTATTATGAGGATAATAACGATGATGACAAGTGCAAATACGTTTGACAAGTTTTTAGCGTGAAATAAAAGCAAGCAGTGAAAGAATACATTGAAATGAAATAGAAAATTTAAAAATATTACTTAAATTAGCAGTGAATTATTTGATCATGCCACTGTGATAATTGGTTAAGCCTACAAATAACAATAGCTTTCGCAATAATATTACTACATTTGTACAATAATAAACCAAAAATTATTAAAACCACATTTTTGATTTGTAGGTCTGTCGGCCGGTTTATATTACGATGGGAAAACATTTTTCCCGGCTTTGAAACCAGACGACAACACTGATCCGGTGGCTTCTATGACCACACCCATCTTCAACGTCACAATGACTCCATCCTCATCATCCACGTCATCACCAACGTCGTATTCACCGGTCCAATTTTGTCTGCAACTGGAAACTAAGCTACCGTCAGTTGACATGGAATCATTCGTTGTCTACAAAACGCCCACAATGTCCAGTTCTAAACAGCTTGAAATATTTGTAGTCACTAAATACGAAAACAACCAGCAGGATTGGTCGAAAGGTGTCTTCCAAATTACGATCGATCCGAAGGGGAAGGATAACAGTTATGTCAACTTGTTAACGCCGATCAACGAGCCAGAAGCAATCCAAAAAGCGCAAGTGAAAAGACAGGCATCTCCGCAACAACAACAACAACCCCAACAAAAAAAGAAAAACAAACAACGACTTTCAAAGCCTCAACAGCACCAGCAGCCACCACAACGACCACCACAGCCGTTACAACTTGTTGATGCACAGGTGTTATCCTTTCAAATTGTCTTCATCTTCCGACTGGCGCACGATAAACCGTTGACGCTAATGCAGGACTATGGAGGTGTGCTAATGGCAGCATTGAAAAATGTGAAGGTCACTTTTGGAGCTTGCAATCAAGGTACTTTTTAAACTAAATTTTAAATTCAATTATACCGCTATTGTTAAACAATACACATAAAAAAAAACAAATTTATTAAGGTATAATTATTAAGTTTACTACTATCGTTATTCTTGAATGAGATTAATGTTTCCACTTCTCTTAATGATAAAAAATGATACTACAATCACAGGACTTCCTGTCACTTCCGAAGAGTTTATTTGCTCCAGCGAGAACCGGAAGTCATGTGACTTTTTTGTTGACAGTTCGGAAGGTGTGTCCAGATGGACGACAGCTACTTATCTGTCCTCGACCGATCCAAAAGGAAAAGGTCATTATATATGTGATGCACTTTCAATTATCGTAGCTTTTACAATTAATTTCATTAGATTATCACTTTTTGTTGTTTTTTTACAGCACAATTATCACACTACACCACACACACTCTATCACACACGCCACACCACACCACACGCCACACCACACGCCACAGACTGCCAGATAAACGGCCGCGGCTATGTGTACACTGGAAACGTGAGCACGACAATCTTCGGCAGGACCTGTCAAAGGTGGGACTCGCAAGAGCCGCACGAACACAACCAGGACGTGGCGGAATACTTCATGGATGTTTCCATGAATACAACTGAGAACAAATGTCGCAATCCGACGAATCCTTTCATTCCCAGAAATTGCTGGTGCTACACAATGGACGCCAAACAAAGGAGGGAATACTGCGATGTTCCGTTCTGCGTTGGTCCGTTCTTCTCTTACTTTTTATTTTTTTTGTCGTTTAATGCTCTGCTAACCGGTTGAATATCATTAATTTTTGGAACAGAAATATTTCAGCAGAAACATTTTTAATATTTCTTTGTAGTCTTTTATTTTGAAACATCACTACTTTATGTAATAATTTACGTTCATTTTAAGTAAACTTGTTGGTAAATAAATGTTAAACTATCATTAAATAATTAAATAAATAGTTATACAACTGAACAATTAAACAAAATTTTTTTCAGATTCTTTCTTCCAGGTAGAGATTGACACGATATCAATGTTTTCAGCTAAACTGACCTCTCCAACACTGCTCATCAACGAGACTTCATGTTTCAGGTTCAAATATGACATCACGAACGCTTTCGTTCGGTTGGAGGTTTATGTAAAAACGAGAACAAACGCAACTTTGAAGGTTGTTGTTTCGCTATGATTTGATTGAGCATTTGATTAGTCGATTGTTTGAAAACTTTAGTGTCTGATTAATGAATGTTTTTATTAGTATATTGAATAATAGACGAATGAATGAAAAAATTACAAATCGTTCACTTAATTGGTATATCAAAATGAAAAAACAAAAATTTTTTACAGGAAATTTTCAAAAATGTGCCAATGGTACCGATGAATACAACATCCACAGCATCTTCATCAACAACATCAACGCCATCATCATCATCTCCAGTTTACACAACTTCATCAAATTCTTCCGGCATATACTGGAACAAAGCGGAAATAGATTTGACACCGGAAGTGGAACAACAGGTGATTATCGTTGCCACGCCAACGGAGTACACGTCCTACAATCCTTATGTCTTTGTCGATGACGTATTTGTGACGAGGGGTTCGTGTGACCGCGATGGTCAGTATACGTTTCATCAAATTTTCACACCTTAAGTTTTTTTTATTATTGAGTTAGCTGATGTTCAGTTTTCCATGAGCGTTTGAATAAAATTTTTCTAATCAAGTCATGAATGAAAAATCAATCTGTTCAATTATATCTTCCAAATGATCTATGCCGTTGAATTAATACAGAAGTTTTATTTAAAGTTAGACGTCCACACGGCTAATATAAAAACATGAAGTACTAAAAATGATTTCTGGCAAAAATATTTTCAATTCTAGCCAAAGCTTTCCATAACCCCGGCACTGTACCTTACTCTGGACCCAGACTTGCCAGGACTGCTTACCAAGAAAAACTGCTCAACGAATATGCAGGTCACATTGATGATGTCGTATGATGGAGAGATGTATATCAAAATAATAATGTTATGATATATTGATATATCTGTATCTATAATAACAAAACATTTGATATAATTTTACTAGTGCCGAAATGTGCAACGCTTTGAAAAGCAAAATAATCGAGGCAGCCAAAATTGTGGCGTGCAAACTTCGCTCTGTAACTGTTTTGCTAAACACTTTGAGTGACACTTCCAATGACGATCGTGCAGTTCTGTTTGTATAAGTGGACATAAAAAACTGGCGAATGATCAAAATTTACATTTATAGCAAATTTGGCTAATTAAATTCAAAAACTCTTTAAAATCGCATTCGTAGTTAAGAATATAAGAAGAACAAGATTACGGATATATCCATTACTGTTGTGGTAGCATAATTAGATAGATGGCTGAGGCTTAATTAACGTTTTATTTGTTTGATAATTAAATAAACACGACAATCTATTTGTTAAACCACTTTTGGTCTGTTTTGCTTATATGCACTCTAATATATCTAATTGGTAATTAATTTCATTTCTTTAAACAAATGTATTAAAAAATTATTCAGGACAATCAATGGAGATTCTGAATCAGAAAATGGCACACCAGAAAGAGGATCTCATATTATCGTGAATATTTCTTTTTCCCAATAAATATTTCTAATTTTTCCATGACAATTTTTATTACTTTTAAAGTTTCACAACATATTTGTTCAGTAGCAAATTTAATTAATAATTTCAAACCTTATACACGTGCAGATGTAAGTACGATGGCTATGATTGCACCAGTAACGATATTGTCACGGAGATGACTGACATGGGACAGTGCTACACCTTCAACATGAATAACGACAAGTGCCTACATACATTATAATATTATTATTATTATTATTACCAATTCTACATTATAATATTATAAATTATTATATCATTATTACTGATTTTAGTAGTTTTACTTCATTTTAAAATACGGTCCAGATTTTATTTTACTTTTGATTTTAAGTAGCGTTTTTAGAAGTTTTTTTTTCTAGAAGTAGTTGTAGTATTTGTAGTATACTTGATGAAAAAGTTTATGTTCAGCATTACTAATCTAGCAAATTTTATACACAATTCATTTGTCATCGTTTATGACTATGCCAAAGATATTATTTTACTATGTTATTCATCGTTATCATCTTATGATAAACGTTCTTATTGTCATTTCTATATAAATAATAATCAACTTAGTCTTATAATGTCTTTTTATAATTAAAATAATAAAATAGATTATTATTAATTATTATTAATTATTATAAATATTATTATTATGGTTAGATTATTATTAATTATTATTATTATTATCATTAATATGACCTCACAATCGAACGAGCCTTATCATCTTGATCATTATTCATGTGGTTTTAAACCATCATCATCTTCATCACCATCATCTTCTTCTCCTTCTTCTTCTTCACTTCTTCTTTTTCATCATCTTTTTCTTCTTTTTCTTCTTCATCTTCTTCTTCATCATCATCACCTTCATCATCACAATCAGGTCCGTTACAACGACTGGATCATTATCAGGAGTGAGGCTGGTGTTGAACGTGGAGCAGTATCAACACGTCCCTGGATACGTTACCGGCGTTGGAGTGAAGGTAATGATGATGGTAATGATGATGGTGGTGGTGATGATGATGATGGTGGTGGTGATGATTGTGATGATGATGATTATGATACGATGATGGCGACGATGGTGATAACGACGATGTAAACTATGATGACGATGATAAAACTCACTAGATACACTTACATGATCCATACGAAATACCTTCCATGCTCTCGTTGGGGCTAGCCGCTCAACCTGGTGTTCACAATTTGGGTATCATGAGTTATACCACGGTAGGTCTTCTGCTATGTTTTTATGTATATGTATATGTAGGTGTGTTAGAAAGGACACACACACACACACACACACACACACGAACATGTTAATATTTAGGTTGTTACAAACTATGTTTGTATGTTTTTTTTTAAATGTTAGATCATCACAAATTTTTTTTTTTTGGTTTTATATTTGTGTTAAGGAGTGCTTATATAATTATATTGATAAGAATATTTATTATCTATTATCATTTTGTTGAGAATAAACAGTGTGGTGAACGCATTCTTCATCACCAATTTATCTTAATTTTCATGCTTGCTATTTATCTTAATTTAAATGAAATCTTACTAGCTTCACTGAAGTTGTTTCTGCTTACTTTGGTTTCATAGTATGAATTCATTTTTGTTGTTTAAATCTGGTCAATATCTGAAACTATTTGCTGCTTATTCAACAAAGTTTAATTTTTTGAATGCTTACAAATCAATTGTCAGCTTCGGTACAAGTCTTGAGATGCGATAAAAATCATGGCGCCGATAATAATGGTTATTAGGAAATAATAACAGAAATGACAATAAGAATTATTTTTATAGAATATCAATATCTAAAAATGAACATAGAGTGAAAGTCTGAGCTCTCCATACGGGAACTGTGGTCAGGTGCCTTTGAATCTAACCCTGCCCCCCCAGTATGCTAATCAGTACAGCGAGGCCAAGTGCCGTCTTGAGATGAAGACATTGCAGTTGAACGATCTGTGTTCGTGCAAGGAACCCTTCATGCCTGGTTTGTTCTTTCCAATTTTCGATGCATTTTGGTATTGTTTATCATTCTGAATGCATACTTGCCACGCTCTTACATATTTTCTCTGAAATATTACGTTTTGATGAAACTTTTTCATTCAGTGTATTGAGATCATCATTTTTTAATTTGTACTCTAAAACAAATAAACATAGGTTCAATTGATGTTTGCAACTTAACGAACTACCTGCATTGTTCCAAGGGGTTTATGGGTCGGTTGTTTTCCATTGTGTTTGAATTTTATTTGAAATCTTATAGTTACGAAACACCCATTCATTTAAACGTTCATTCAAATTACTCATTCTCAAACTTGATACTTTTTGAAAATCTCTTCAAAAATTAATTCATTTCATGAATATTTTGACCACCAGCTACAAGCAATAACAACACGATATCATCTTCCTCTTGTCCAAGTGCCTGCAACATCAACTCCTTCTCTGTACAACTTTCCCAATCCAAACTTTCAGCTCTGCACGTAGATGAACTGCTCAGCGCTAAAGAACAAACCGTTCGTGAGAATTATTTGAAAGCCAACGAAATCAACAACCGAGTGAACGATCGGGAGTTTCTTCATTTGGCTGAAAGTTTGAAAAATTTGAGCTCAAGTGTCGTACAGCTACGTGATTATATATATTTCTCGCTGCTACAGTTTGAAACATCTATCGTTAAACATGTTGAAACGGCTATAAGGACAATCTCTCTCAACATGATCAGCGAAGTTAGGGACGGTGGTCTTGACTTCATGAACGAGTTGGACAACGAGTTTGCTCACACGACTCAACCTAAAATAACATATTTGTTAGTCCATTTAAAGAGTGCCTACTCATCTCTGGCTTTTTTCAAAGACCTCTACGAAGAAGCTCTAAAAAGTGCCATAAACGGCGGTAGCAGCGTTAATTTGGATTTTTCGATATCCAAAACTGAATGGTATTTGAAAGTATCGAATGATACTTTAACCAAATTTTTAACGTTGAACAATACGTTGAATGTTTTCCAATCAATCATAGACAGCGTTCCAGATAGCGATAACTCATGTTCCAGTGACCTGTGGGATTCTCAAGTTAATTTTTATAAAAGTGACGAATTCATGAAGTGGTTGAGTAAGTT